CAAAAATAAATGACACAACTTGCAACAATAAAAGTTAGTGAGGAATCAGCCCCTCCATTTTTTTTCCTTTCACTTTCCCTCTGTCAATTGGAGCTGTTAAGTCTGTGAAGCTAGAATTGTGAGTTTGTAGCCAGTCTGGGCTAGCTAGTTAGTGATAACACTGTCTAAAGAAAGCGTTTTTGTTACATTCTTCTCAATGCTGAAATTGGCATTTGGCTCAAATTTGTATAAAAGTTAGTGAGGAATCAGCCCCTCCATTTTTTTTCCTTTCACTTTCCCTCTGTCAATTGGAGCTGTTAAGTCTGTGAAGCTAGAATTGTGAGTTTGTAGCCAGTCTGGGCTAGCTAGTTAGTGATAACACTGTCTAAAGAAAGCGTTTTTGTTACATTCTTCTCAATGCTGAAATTGGCATTTGGCTCAAATTTGTTTTTCAGGAGAAAAAGATAGACAAGGAAAGACAAACCAGTGGGTTGCTGGGCTGCTAAGATCTGCCTCCCAATGGCTGGGACTTTACCACACACACTACCACACCTGGCTGAAACATTTTTCTACTGACATATTTCAAGATCTTATTTTTTATTTTTGCTTGTTATTAATTAACTTTTTATGAGACAGGATTTCATGTAGCCTAGGCTGGCCTCCCACTTATTAGCCAAGGATGACCTTCCCAAGTGCTAGATTACTTGTGTGCCACTACACCAGGTTTACTAAGATTTAGTTTTTACATGACAGTATGTATGGTACCTCAAACTAAACTAGTGAACATAAGTCCTTAGGGAGTGTTGGGAAGACACCCAGCATTGACCTCTGCCTCCCAAACATGCATGTATAGGTGTACAGAAGCATACACATGCACATGCATGCACACACATGCTTACATACACCAGTAAATGAAGGTCTCTGATGGTGCTTTTCCCCCTTTGGTAGGGTAGTTTAATGTTCTCTTACCAACTCTTTCGATGTCACATCCTTCATCTTTTTTCAATAATGCACAGACTCTAAGCTAGGCTTTCAGTTACTGTTCCGAATCTCAACTTGGCAGATGTTACAATCTCATATTTTATATGTAAGTGAAGTATTTTTCCCTTTTATTTAGTGATTGTGTACTAGCTATATTTTATTAAGGCCTTCCTAAACATTTAGACTCTTAGCTGATTATTTTTTAATATTTTTATTTTATTTTATATGTATGAATGTATTGCCTGCATGCAAAGCACCGTCACGCAATGCCCGTGGAGGTCAGAGGAGGGAGTCAGATCCCCCGGGCGGAATTAGGACAGTTGTTAGCCGCCCTGTGGGTGCTGGGAATTGAACCTGGATCCCCTTCAAGTGCAGCAGTGCTCTTAACCACTGAGCCATCTCTCCAGCCCCTCTTAGCTGATTATTTCTTTGAAAGAGTATTCATTAAAGCTTGTAAGATAGTGCTTTTTACTGATACATATCCTTTGTGTTATCTGCCAGATTTAAGGACCACAGTACAGCTATGGATAGTGAGCCAAACTCTGGAACATCCTCTGTGTCAACAACGGCCAGTAGCACCACCACCATCACCACTTCCTCCTCTCGAATGCAGCAGCCACAGATTTCTGTCTATAGTGGTTCAGACCGACATGCTGTACAGGTATTTCAGCTACATTCACGGGGGAGGCTAAGGCTGAGGATACCATATTGCTTTCTGCTTACGTCAGCTGCATGTATTGATTGACATCCTCAAATAGAACTGTAAGCATGCAGGCTGGGGGTGTAGCTCAGCAGTACAGTACTTGCTAGTAGGTGCAAGTCCCTGGGTGTGATCTCCAGCACTGCCAGAAGGAAAAGGAAAAGAGTAAAATCATTTCTGTTTGAAAAACCAATAAAGTTATTTAATAGTCATAGTATTGAGAGGGCTTTTATTTGCCAGCATGTAGATTAGAAGACTGTGTGTCAGGAAAATTATAGTTGAAGGTCTCTAGGTGTGTCACAAGAGTGAAGATAGTACTTGGGAAATATTCAGAATGGCTGTTTTCTGAGCTATTTCTGAGCTATACAGACTCACAGAGAACTTTTCAGGTTGAGGTGACTGAAGGACTCGAAACAGGAAGGTCATTCTACAGCTTCTGGGGGCAGAGGGAAGGGAGTATTTAGGAAGTGTCAGTGTAGTCACTCAGTTGAGCAAGTAAAGTTTACTCAGTTGAACTTCTTAGCAATGGAGTTTTTCTGGTGTTGCTTAACAGACATGGACAGGTATTGCAGTCTGATGGTCTCTTTGCTTGTACTCTGTTTTCAGTGTTGTTAGTGTCTGTAGGGCCTTGGGTCAAAGACATGTCATCTCCTGAGTCTGAGGAAAGAATGAAATGAAATGAAATGAAGATAACATTGTCTATTTCACCAGTTACTATAAGAATTAAATGAAGCGTCTAGAACTATGCAGGGCGCATTATAGGTAAATGATAATAGTGTTGATTGAACAGTTTCTATGTGCCAGGCATTTAATGAATGTTTTCTTTATGTGGATTATTTTATTTAATCCTTACCAGACCACTATACAGTAAGCATTTTACAAATGGAAAAACCCGGGTTTTAAATAGGCCAAATAATATTTTCAAGCTCACATAGCTAGTAGGAATTCCGATTTCAGAGTTTGTACATTCACCATCCTGAGTTCTTGCTTTTTTTCAGGATTTTCATAATTACATTTTTTTTTTTTTTTTTTTTTTTTTGAGACAGGGTCTCCCTATTTCCCCAGCTGTCCTGGAACTCGCTATGTAGACCAGGCTGGCCTTGAACTCACAGAGATCTGCCTGCCTCTGCCTCCCGAGTGCTGGGATTAAAGGCATGTGCCACCACGCCTGGCTCATAATCACATTTTCTAGTTTATTTTCCCAGAGCTAGGGAATCATAGTGTTCTTTCCTAATAGCATTCTTCACTGTTTGTGATCTAGTTCTCCCTGTGCTCTGTTTTTCTATGGTAGAGATCCCAGTGTAATGATTATTTAGACTTTAGACTTTAGCTCTGGTCATTGTAAGGGAACTGTTGGAGACCCAGTCTGCTCAGCAGAAATTCCAACTTGAATGTAGAGTGTGCTTTTAATGTCTTCTTTTTTTTCTGAGGCAAACCATACATGGAAGAATGTCCATCTGACAGCAGGCAGATGGTGTGATGTTTGACTATGCCATTTAGTTCTCATTTTCACTGATTTGAGCTGGATAAGTTAATAAAGTGTAAGTGGAAATGATGTTGGCACTGAAATATCTCACCCATAGCTCTAAGTCCAGTTCTTACAGATCATTGAATTGTTTCATCTAAAATGTTTCCAAACACAGGTTCATTGAAGGACTAGGGATTTCTTTAATCTTCCAGTTTGCTTTTTCAGTCCTGTGGGTTCACCCTCCTTGTGTCTGTGGGGATGCAGAGTAAGAACAATGTATCATGTCTTCAACTTGTGTTTGCTCAGTGCCAGGTAGAGAGTGACAGCAGGGGACTGTACTGACAATAAAAATTACTGCACTCTGACAAAAATAGCTGCCAGATTGGTTGTTCACTTGGTATTTGGTTTGATTCTTTTTTTTAGAATTTTGTTATGGACATCTATAGTTTGATCTGACTGGAAGAAAAATATTATTGTAATTCTGAATCAGTTAGTGCTTAGTCCATGGTCCTCTGCAAGGAGTCAACTAGGATTTTATGAGAAGAATTTGTAGCAGGAACAATCTGTTAGAGAGGAGATTCTAGCACATGCAAATGAACTGTAACTCATGGAAGTCTGGGCTAAGGGGTCTGTGGCTTTATGGTGCCAGATGTCCAGACTTACACCCTCAAGCTATAGGATTATGGCTGTTTCTCCATCAGCACTTTGGAAACTGCTTGATGCTGAGATTAGGGTTGTGCAGTGTCAGAGTCTCAGTGGGCATGCTGAGGTCATCTGACTTAACCGTTGAAGAGATGCAGGCTTTCTCGTGCCCTTTTTAGAACACGATCTCTCTGTTTCTCCACTTAAGTTTCAGGGTCAGATTTTACACTTTACTAATAAATTTTCACTGTAATTAACAATATTTAGGAGTTTCAATAATAGGAATAAAACTGTTCTTATATGGAAACAATCTGGTATTTTTAAAATGACAAATTGAGTAATTTTCAAAGAAAGAAATAACTTTAATTTTATATGATGTTTAATATAATACTCACTGTAGGATTTTCAGACATCTATAGAAAAGTACAAACCAGAAATTGAGTCATCTCTAATATTGCTGCTTATCTTGTATTTTCCTGAGCATTTGAAATATTTTAACACAAAATAGTATGTTATTCAAAACTAGGTGTACCTGTAACAGTTTACATTAAAATTAACATTACAGTTCAGTTTAAATTTAAAACCCATTTTCTTTTTGGTCTTTTTGAGACAGGGTCTCCCTGTAGCCCCAGCTGTCCTGGAACTCACTATGTAGACCATGCTGGCCTTGAACTCACAGAGATCTGCCTGCCTCTGCCTCCCAAGTGCTGGGACTACAGGCATGTGCCACCACGCCCAGCTTCTTCTTCTTTTTTTTTTTTTTTTAAATATTTTATTTATATTTTTATTTTATGTGTATGAGTATTATGCCTGCATGTAGGTAAGTGTACCTGTGTCATGCAATGCCTACGGAGGACAGAAAAGGCTGTTGGATCCCCTAGAACTGGAATTCTGGACAGTTGTTAACTGTCATGTGGGTGCTGGGATTCGAACCTGGGTCTTCTGCAAGAACAGTGTTCTTAACCACTGAGCCATCTCTCCAGCCCCCTATTTGCTTTTTAAAAAATATTTTATTTGTTATTTTTATTTTATGTGTGTGAGTGTATTGCCTGCATGTGTGTAAGTGCACCCCTGTCATGCAGTGCCCGTTTGAGGTCAGAAGAGGGCCTTGGATCCCTGGAACGGGAGTTAGCCTCCATGTGAATGCTGCAACCTAATTCAGGTCCTCTGCAAGAGTAGCCAGTGTTCTTGACCACTGAGCCACCTCTCCAGCCCCAAAACCTTCCTTTTTTTTTTTTTGAGACAGAGTGTCCCTATAGTCCCAGCTGGCCTGGAACTCACTATGTAGACCAGGATGGCCTTGAACTGACAGAGATCCACCTGCCTCTGCCTCCCAAGTGCTGGGATCAAAGGCATGTGCCACCATGCCCAGCAGACTGTGACTTTTTTAATACTTCAGTTTATAGGTAAGCTAAAAGCAGAGCTGGGATGTAGCTCAGTGGTAGACCATGTGCTTAGCATACAGAAGGCTCTGGGTTTGATCCCCAGCACCAGGGTGGCTAACAAGATCAAAGTTGAGATTATGGTTTAACCCTGATCCCTTGCCTCATCACAGGTAATCCAGCAGGCATTGCATCGTCCCCCCAGTTCGGCCGCTCAGTACCTGCAGCAGATGTACGCAGCTCAGCAGCAGCACTTGATGCTGCACACCGCGGCTCTGCAGCAGCAGCATCTGAGCAGCTCGCAGCTCCAGAGCCTCGCTGCCGTGCAGGTGAGGGCATGAGGGAGTGATTTATGAGACCGCGGTTTATGTTATGTTCCGGTAATTACTGAAAATAAATACACTGCATATTCCCGAGTTATTAAATGTCCCGTGTGATCCTTTTCCTTGAAGGAGCTATGTCAGTAGGCTGACAGATGAGGCTAATTGGGCAGAGACTGTTTGTGTATTGTTGTGTGGCTTGCTTTTGTGTCTTTGCTCTTCATCCAGGTTGGAAAAGTGCAGCGCCGTGGGGTGCTTTTGTCTCCAAAACATGCGTGAGGTTACATGCGATACATTTCTTTTAACCAAAAGTGAGGGTTTTTTTGTTATGTAGATAAATATATGCATTAAAAACATCAAATGGTATAAAACCACAGGAGGCAGATGCAGAGGAGATGCTCGTTTTTCCTGCACAGCTGTCATTGGTTGCTCTGCAGAGGTGGTCATTGTGACAGTTTAACCTGTGTCCCCTAGAAGTTCTATACAGAAACATGTGTATGTATCTTTCTAAAATATAACGTGAGGGGCTGGAGAGATGGCTCAGCTGTTAAGAGCACTGACTGCTCTTGCAGAGGACCTGGGTTTGGTTCCCAGAACCCACATGGCGGCTACGAATCATCTTTAACTCCAGTTCCAGGGGACTCTGATGCCCTCTTCTGACCTCCGCAGCATTGCACGACACTGGTGCACTCACATACATGCAGGCCATACACTCATACACATAAAATATTAAAAAATATATATGTATAACATGAATCCTATCAGTAACATAATTTTATGGTTAAATGTTTAGGTTTTTAAAAAGATTTTCATTAATATTGTAGTATTTAAATAAAACTCTTTGTGAGACGATCTTAAATCTCACCAGAGACTCCCAATTGAGTGAACCTGAAAAAAAATTTTCTTTTATTCATAGATACCAGCTCTTGCTGCTTTTCAATAGTGTAATGTAAATATTTTAAGGAACACTTGTGTTTGAGTTAAGGAAACTGAAACCCACTGTAGCACCAGTTTCTAAAAAAATATGTAAATTTTTTTTGTGTGTTATGTGTGTGGCATATATATGTGGTTGCACATGTGTGTATGAATATGTGTGCCCAAATGTGTGGGTGTATGCGGTTGTGTGGTGCATGTGGAGGCCAGAACAGGATGCTCAGTGTCCTCCCCACATGTCTTCCTCTAGGCTAGCTGCCTGCAAATTCTCAGGATCTGCTGTCTCTCCCCCAGTGCTGGGGTCACAGCCATGTGCAGCCATCCCTGGCTTTTTACTTGAGTGCTAGCGATTTGAACTCAGGTCCTCAGGCTTGCAGAGCAAGCGCTCTTACTCACTGAGCCGTCTCTCCAGCCCTTAGTTTCTTTTTCATAATGATGGAGCAGGGGTTCTACTTCAGAAATGACAGAAACTCAGAGTGAAACTGTCAAGTTGTTCAGTATGGTCCCAAGAATGATCTAGCACAGTCATACCTTCAGATCGGAATGAGTGAGTTTCTTAAGTAGATAGCAGGCCAAAATAAAAGAGTAAATAGATAGCCAGCCAGCAGAACATCATTAAATAAGGTGCTTAAAACATCCAGTAGAAATCAACTAGGGAAGCCAGGTTGAGGTAGTCAGCTGGAGTTCCTGATGCAGAGAGTATCCTGGGTTAGAAGAATGTCCTATTGTGTGAGGCTTCCAAGTAAAAGAATAACAGCAGAAAGGCAACACCAGCAAATAGAGGACTTGCTGACACCTCTCGGAAATGGACTGGGGAAGTCCTGGTAAGGATCTCAGTGGAGTTCCCAATCCAGATGCCCCAGTGGAACAGAGTATCCCCTTGGGTAAGGCCTCCAAGGAAAAGAATAGCACCAGATAGAGATAGCATCATTAAATCAGGTACTCACTACATCCAGCAGAAACCTACTGGGGAAGGTGAAGCAGTCGGCTGGAGTTCCCACTTGAACTTTCTCTCTCTGTTTGAACATCCCATGACTAAACTTCTAGCTTCTTTTTCCTATTTATTTTAAAATTTTTATTAAAAATTAAGAAAACATTTTTAACATATATAAGTGTTTTGCCTGTATGTTTGTAAGTGTACCACATGTGTGTGGTGCCCATGTAGGTCAGAAGAGGGCGTGGATCTCCTGGAACTGGAATTATAGATATTTGTTAGTTGTCATGTGGTGCTGGGAACACAGATCCTCCTGCAAGAGCAGCCAGTGCTCTTAACCGCTCAGCCATCTATCCAGGCCCCGTATTTATATTTTTGAGATAGGATCTCATGGTGTAGCTCTGGCTAGCCTGGAACTTGCTATGGAGACTAGATTGGTCTTGAACTTACAGAGATTGATCCACCTGCTTTTGCCTCCTGAGTGCTGAGATGAAAGGCATGTATCACCATTCCTGGCCTTATTCATTTTTCTCCCGTCCTCCCCAAGACTGGGTCTCCCTGCAGCCTCAGCTGGCCTGGAACTAATAATGTAGACCAGGCTGGCCTCGATCTCACAGAGATCTACCTGTCTCTGCTTCCTGAGTGCTGGGATTAAAGACCTATTCATTAAAAATATATTTTATGCCAGGTGTGGTGGTGCATGCCTTGAATCCCAGCACTCAGGAGGCAGAGGCAGGTGGATCTCTGTGAGTTCAAGGCCAGCCTGGTCTTATACAGTGAGTTCCAGG